GGGTTTAAGGGTTTGGGGGTTTAAGAGATAAGGGTTTAGGGTTTAAGGGTTTAAAGGTTGCAGCGTTTTGGGGATGAGGGCAGTCGTCAGTGGGTTCAGCTCCGAATTTCTTCCCTCCCTGCAAGGCGTAGCCTACTATGCAAGTCATTTCGGTGTCGATGTGGCTGCAAGCCTTCCAAGTCCGGTTAAACCTTTGCCACATTAGGGAAGATGCTGCTTACATGCTGGACGAAATGAAGAATAAACGGGCTGAAGGTTCATATACCATATAGAGATTCATGGTATAAGAGGCATATACGGCCCCTACTTGTAAAGGTGGTTTGGTCCCTAAGGTATGAAACGCACCAAGTGGCCGCCAGTCAGATGCTGGCCGAAGAAAAAGAAAACAAAGAAGGCCAGCACCGGGAGCTCGATAAGCAGCGGAAAAAGATAGTAGCGGTCGCAGATGCCGCTCATGTACGCCTCCGCACTGGGAAAGAACAGGGATTCAGCATTCGACTTCGACTTTAGCATGAAGATTACTGTAAACCCCTGATTCATTAACCTTTCTCCTTGAAATACGGATTTTATATATGGAGTTCAGCTAAGCTGGGTAACTATATTATATCCACTAAACCCTATATGTAAAGCCATAGAAGCACCCAGATAAAGACCCCATGCAACCCTAAAGCCCCCAAGCCTGACAGTGAAAAATACCTCCTTACCCTTTCTTCCATAGCGAGACGCTGTGCAGAAATGCTCTGATCGTGATGGGTTTTAACTTTGGAGGGGGGGAGGGGGTTGCGGCTTTAGAGTTTAAGGCCTGTCTACGGTTTCAAGGTTTCGGGTTCTGGGTTGGGTGCATGGGTGCATGAGTAACCGTCAACGCACGGAGAGCACTTTCATGCACCAGCTGCATTGAAGACTGACACTGAAGTTTCAGTCCGGGCTGGCATTTACGTCAGCACTAAACAATGCCAACAGCTAAGCAGCTAAACACAACTGATCAATAAACATCCCTTAGACCCCAATCCCTAACCGTTCAGGGTTTTGGGTTTCGGGACCAGCATCTTGAACCTGAGCCATAAACCTCGTTCTGGAAGCCTGGTCTCGAAAGCCGTACGTTCAAACACAAGATGCCCTAATCCCCAAACTCCTAACTTTACTGTTGGGCTTTTACCCTAAACCCTTAATCCTCAACCCGCACTTAAACCCTAAACCCTTTAGACCCCAAACCCTGAATGTAGAACCTCAAGCCCAAATCCATCAGGGTTTGTTACCTGGACTAAAAAAATATGTAGAATACAGCTGTGTTATGGGACTGGCCATTATTTTACCTGCTTTTGGGGGTTCAGGTACGGTCTAACCACTCTCGCAGGGCCTGCACGATGCAAAGGCTGGCGACGGCGAGCACCCAGCAGACGAGCGCCGACTTCACCGCTATGCCCAAGTTGAGAAAGTAGCACATGCTCAGGTACCTTTCGAGGTCTCGGGTTGAGGATTCAGGGTTTAGGGGTTTAGGGTTTAGGGTTTAGGGTTTAGGGTTTAGGGTTTAGGGTTTAGGGTTTAGGGTTTAGGGTTGAGGATTCAGGGTTTAGGGGTTTAGGTGCTTCGGCACATGCTCAGCTACCTTTCAACGATTTAGGAGTTCGGTGTTCGGGTAGCCTTTGCTCAGCCTTGCTGACTTGTTGAAAACGGTTTAGGGGTTTGGGGTTAAGGGGCTTTGGGTTTGCAAGTTTGCACCGCTTGAGAACACTGGGAAGACGGTCAGAGGTTGACGGGATGAGCCTCATCCTTTGATATGGGGCTTAGTCTGTGGAAGTGGGTGTCTGTCAGCACGGTTCAGGTGGGGTTTAGTGGGACTTCGTACAGGGGCCTTAGAATTTGGGATACGGTGCCAGGGTATGTTGGTATATTATGCCTTGGTTGCCAGGGGACTATTGGGATAAGATTCCTTCCGCGCATGTTCACCATCTCTGCAGGTACGACCCGGAACATTCGTTTACCGGACTGTACCTATAGGCTCCATTGCAGTTCCGTTTGGGGTTACCTTATAGGATCCTATTTATGTAACAACTGGTTACACCATATAAGTACTGAGGATTCGTCGGGCAGGTCGGCATTAAAATCTCAATTCTGCCAGCAGACTTCGGCCAGCGCCCCGAGCTCCAAGTGTGGCTGATAAACACCTCAGGAGTCACGTGGGTAGTTCTCTAGACCAGCGTCCCTTCTTGGGTACCCAAAATAGTACGGCACCTATATAAAAATATACCCTAGAAGGAACCCTAATTTAGAGAACTACCAGTGCCCAAACCCTGAAACCCCAAAACCCCGGGTCAAAACCCACAACACAGCCCTAAACCCTAAAGCCCTAAACCCTAAAACTCAAAACCCAAAACCCTAAAGCCCTAAACCCTAAAACCGCAAAACCCTGAACCCTAAAGCCCTAAGCCCTAAAACCCAAAACCCTAAATCCCAAAACCACTGTGTGCGCCTCCACCCGGTTCACGGGCTCCGTTCCGCTGAATGCACCGTCTCCCAGCGTTGCGTCCACCTTTGGCGGAGGGTTTAGGGTTTATAAAGGGTTTAGGGTTTAGGGTTTAGGGTGTACTTAGACCCTTACATGATGCAATACTTTGTTTTGGATGGTTTCAAAACAAGGTATAAAAAGTAGCTAGTACGTTTAAAGGTCTATAGATATAGGTAGTTTGGGATACTTTGGGTTAGGAGTAGGGGCGCTCAAAGGTTTAGTGTGCCATAAAGCTTCGTGTAAGGGCTCGTTTTGGAGTTTCGAGCTTCAGGGTTTTAAGATTTTGATCTTGGGGTTTTGGGTGGGCCCCGGTCTCTTCTCTAGCATTCTGGGAGAGTTCGGGATTCAGAGTTAACTGCTTCTTGGCTTTCCATGTTTCAACCTTGGGGTTTTAGGGTTTAGGGTTTAGGGTTTAGGATTTAGGGTTTAGGGTTTAGGGTTTAGGGTTTAGGGTTTAGGGTTAACCCCCTAACGCTAAATCCTACAAGTTGCTCAGGTATATGGCGGCTAGCTCCCCCTAAACCCTAAACCCTAAACCCTAGACCCTACACCCTGAACACCAAAGCCTAACTCCCAAGAGCCTGAACTGGTGGCTTAAGGTACACCTCTAACTGCCATAACCCATAACTTTTGGTAGGTTTTTTGGGTTTAAGTTTAAGGTTTAGGGTTATTCAAGACCTAACATGACATAAAATTTGTGGGGACCCTGCAAAAAAGGGCTGTTGTTCGTCAAAGGTGCAGCGCAGGATCTACTTTTCGCGTCGTATGTCGGCAGTTCTGCGGCAAGACATTCTTTCGCAGAGTTGTTCCGGAACTAGTTACTTTAGGGATCTGCGTGAGGAGCCGATCGGCTGGACACAGCGCAGGACACTACAGTATACAGTCGCAGTATTTGTCTCCCAGTGCGCCACGAAGGCACCACCCCCTTACCCTCGAATCCGAATCGAAACCCTAAAATCCAAAACCCTACGGCCATAATGGCTTAAACCTTATAAAGCCAAGCACTGAACCCTGAACGCCAAAAGCCATAAACTTGTAGTAACCCTTCCTGTCCATTTCCAGTAACCCTCAAGGAACCCTTAAAGGCACTTAAAGGCCTAAACCCTAAACCCTTATGGATCCCTTTACAAGAACCCTGAAAGGCACCCTTACAGGAACCCTTACCCTTCAAAGGAACCCTTCGCGGAAACCTGCAAGGTCCCTCTCTACCCCGTGGTTTAGGGTTTAGGGGTTTAGGGGTTTATGCTTAGGGTTTTAGGGTTTTAGGGTTTAGGTTTTAGGGTTTAGGGTTTATGGTTTTAGGGCTTAGGGTTTTAGGATTTAGGGTTTAGGCTTTGAAAGGCTTCTCCCCGTCGCCACCTCGCTCGAGGCTTCGGCGGCGCCAATGATGCCGGTCAGGCCCTGAACGAGCTCCAAGGATTTAGGGTCTAGAGGGTTATGCAGAAGTCTATCAGCATCTATTATGGGTTCTTACAACTGTATCTTGAATGGTTCAGGGTGTCAGGTTTATCCTAAACACTAAACCCAAGGCGGTTCAGGGTTTCGGGTTTAGGGGAATAGGGTTTATATGCATGCGAAGCAGCCAAAACCCTAAACCCTAAACCCTGAACCCTAAACCCTAAACTCCTAAACCCTAAGCCTCAACCCGGTCAGCCGTGAGCTCCTGATAAGCATCCCGAACTTGCACGGCACGGTTTCCTTTTCTTTGAATGGCCTCCTCTGGTGGTGCACGGTTTTCTTGGTTTACAGGGCTTTTGGGGCTTAGTGGGTCTAGGATTGAGGGTTTAGGGTTTATAGGGCTTATATAGGATTTATGTGGTCCAGGGTTTGGGCTACGCCTCTGCAAAGACCTCGCCGAGGCCACCCAGAATCTGCAGCGCCGATGTCGCGCGGAAGAGGCCGCGGTCGCAAAGCGCCTCAGGATGCAGGCAGGCCTAGCGTCTTGGGGTTTAGGGTTTCGAGGCTTGCATGGGGTTCAAGGTTGCCCTATAGACCCGAAACCAAAAACCCTATACCTTAAACCCTAAACCCTTAACCCTCAAACCCTGAACCCTAAACCCTCAAACCCTAAACTCTAAACCCTCAAACCTTAAACCCGAAACCCTAAAACCCTAAACCTTAAACCCTAAAGACCCTTATAAACCCTAAACCCAGGGGCTTGGGGGTTTTAGGGACTGGGGCTTAGAGGTGGAGCTCCTGGGGCTTTACATGCTTTGTAGGGCTCATAGGGCCTAGGGTTTAGGGTTTAGGGGTTTAGGGGTTTAGGGTTTAGGGTTTAGGATTTAGATTGTGGGCACATATAGGGCTTACAGCTGAAGGGAAGCTTAGGATTTTTGGGGTTTAAGGTTAATAAGGGTCACATACATAGGGCTTACAGCTTAATGGTGCTTAGGATTTATGGCATATAGGGTTTGGCGTTAGGGGAAGCCTGTGTTAAAAGATTTGCAGCTAAAACATTAGTTGAATGCCTGAAGGCTTTATGAATAGAATACGGTTTGGGGGTGCAGTAAACTACATATGTTAGAGGGAGCCCCATGGAACAATGCATATCTCATTGGGGCACTTAATTATTGCCCTGCTTACCCAGTCTCCTTATGTAGAGGACAGGAAAGACAGCCAACTTGAATATCAGATCCGACCCAGTTCATCATCCGACAATTTCTCGACGGATGCCACCAGCGTGACAAAAAACGCAGTGGCCTTAGCACTTAGATCAAGGTTCACGGGAAGATTGTACTACCGTTGAGAGTAAGTAGCCCGAAGGAATAGTACTAAAGAAATCAAACCCCCCTCAACCCTCAAACCCCAAACCCAAAACCCTCAACCCCTAAGCCCTAAACCGCCCTAAACCCGACAGTAGTGCAGAACAGATCCCCGCCTGCACCGAGCCGACGTTGCGGAGTCGGGGCATCGTGGGAGAAGCAAGTGCTGCGGCTTCTATGGTTTAGGGCGTATAGGGTTCAGGGTTTCGGGGTTTCGGGATTTAGGGTTGAGGGGTTTAGGGGTTTAGGGGTTTAGGGTTGAGGGATTTAGGGGTTTAGGGTGTACCTAGACCCTTACATGTAGCCCCTTTTTTGGATGCCCTATTGTATGGTTTGGATCGTGCATTAAGAAGCTAAAGTAACCCAAAAAAGCTCCTAGGTTTAAGGGTGAAGGTAAGGCGTATGGGATATTTAGTCTCGGGTGTCAAGGCTTGTCGCAGGGTTCAGGGCTTACTGTATAGGGTTTACCTTAGCCACAGCTAACCTAAAGACTTATGTAAAGAAGAAATCATAATGGGCATCCTACAAGGTAGGTTTCATAAGGTTTTTAGTCTTAGGGTGCAAGGCTTGGTTTCCGGATGTAGAGTGCAAAGGCTCATGGGGTTTAGTTTGCAGGCTCTAAACTCTAAGCCCGAAAACCCTATAAGCCCTAAGAGGCCCTACCCCAACCCCAAATTAACCTACCTTTTTAAGGACAAAAATACAGAACTCATAGTAAGGAAACCCCACAAAAAAGAAGGTTCGTTGGGGTCCGGGTCAACCCTTCATTGCGGGTTGGTCTAAAGTTCTGGATCGCTCAAGTTGTGGGCTTTGAAGAACTGGCAGCGAAACGATCAGGCTCAGGATTTGTGGTTTTGCAGCGTCCCTGGGTTTCGGGCTTATAGCGGTTTAGGTTTTAGGTTTTGGCCTAAACCCTAAACCCTAAACCCCCGGGTTTAGGGTTTTGGGGTTTAGCTTCTTGTGCAAGCGAGATGATGAAGCTTTAGGCTCCTGGGTTCGTGTCGCAGGTGCATGGCTTTCTGCAGCTGCTGTAGTGTCTTTTGCAGGTGCATGGGTATTTTGTATTGTGTGGGGGCAAACGAAGCACCCTTGCTGTCTTTGCACGTCTGCGCGCGGATCGTCTTGGGATGTGCCCGCTAAATCTTATGCGAATGGACGTGGTGCTAGCTCGGCTCGGAACAAGCGGCCGGCGTGGCAACGGCGTCTTTCAGATGATCCTGCAAACTGCCCTCGTGTTACGACAAGGCGAAAGCCCCGAAATCCAAATGCACTGCAGACTGTTGCGCAGCTTCTCTGCTGTAAGCCTTTCCACCTACTGCACACTTTCCACTCAGGCTAGGCACTGATCCTTTCTCGCTGCAGTCCAACAGAGCTCTGAAGAAAAAACGACCCAACTTCACACCAGCACCCTCCATTCTCACACGCCCGGTCGTGCTGCTCCAAGAGATGACCGGTGTCATCTGCCGAAGGGGCTGTCGCCGCATCTCTGTCGCTTCGACCTCTTCCTGCCCCTGAGCCTGGCTGCCGGAGAGAAGTGGTGGCATCAGTTCAGCGACTGACCGGGCCACGCCCATCAATTTTGGCCGCCAGCTGCTGATAGCATTCGACAGATAGATCGTAGAGCTCCACTTGGATGTTCATCGCCTGGAGCATGTTGTACTTCATAAGCCTGGGGGCGGTCGCGGAATCATGTGCCCACCGGCTAAGAGGGCCAATGAACTTGGCCACATCGATGGTTCCAGACTGACCCTCATCGGTCATGTAGAAAAGTGACTCCAAGTCTTGCTCGTCAATGTCCTGGGCAGAAATAGGATCTAGGGTGCAGGCTGTTGGTTGTATAGGGGTTAGGATGAGGGGTTTAGGGTTCCGGGAATATCTTGCTCAGCTACCGTTGGGGCAATTGGACAGCAAAGAGACACCAATACGATATGATCTCTGCAGAAACTCTAAAACTCTCACGCCGACACAGCCCCAAACCCTCAACCCTCAACCTTAAACCATCTTGAACCCTATAAAGCCCTACCTCCCAACAGCTCTTTTTTGGCTGGATGGCAGGGCCACCCGGCGGGGCACGACGACCTCTCAGCCGCTAAACCGCTAAACCCTCAAGCCGAACCCACAAACCTGACCCGATAACAGCACTACGTATTGAATTTCAGAAGCCCTCGCAAAAGCCCATGAAAGAGTTGTTGAGACACTTATCTGAAAGAGCCAAACACGAAAATCATTTATACCTATTGAGAACATGTGTAGAAAACCGTGCTTATGACGAAAATGGCCCTCGGTGAAAACGCCCAGCGTCCCTCAACCGAGATGCTCTTGGTGTTGATGGCTCTGCATATTTTTGCTGATTTCTACAGTGTCCCACGCAAGCAATGATGTGGTTATCCATGCCATTTTTGTTCGACATGCCCTGCCTGAATGTTCTTGCCAGTGCTGCAATTAAAGGCTCTTCACTTACATCTCGCGGGCCGTGCAGTTGCATCAAGCGGTCACCACTGTACATTACTGAGAGTTCTGACTGTCGTGCTTCACTGAAGACCTGTAATTATTCGCAACCAGCCGAGGTGCGTGGAACCTGGCAGTGGCCTTGACATATAGAGACTTGGTCAACCTGCATGAGCAGCGCAACGGCAGGCTTGGGGAAAGGGGCTGTATCAATGGCCGGGCACCACGTGCACAATCAACCTCCACAACACAGACCTGCCGCGACAATGCTTCAACCTGACGGCCTGGTACACTTCTCGATGTATGGTATGTCACGGTATGTCAGTTACTGAACAGGCAGAGACATGTCGCTTTCAGTACCAAAGACTTCTTCCAACGATGGCAGTAGAAGAATGAAAGCCCACCTGCCTCGGTTCTGACGGTTTTCCAGAATGTTGATACAGCAGCTGGGGACCCAGCAGTGCAAGTCCTGACACCGCTCGTACATCCGACCGTCCCGACAAAGTGCTTCACCGATCAAAGCTTGAATTTCGGTCACTCCCGGCCTCATTTGCAGCCAAACTCACATAGTTCCACTCAACTCCACGGTGCTGAGTCACATGGTTGGGGCTGGAAAAAAGGGACACCTTGTACGTGAGCATGCACCACGTGACTCAACATGGTGCATGCTCACATACAAGGTGTCCCTTCCTTCCATGACAGCGTCTGCCTGAAGCAAATGGTCGACTAGAATCACGCCGAATCGAGCCACTGAGGATCCATCCAGTGATCGGCCGGAATCACGAATCGAGACTCGCCTCACCTGCGTAGCACCGCAGGACCAAGGGCAACAAGTTCAGCATTCATCGCTGACATCCAGCCTCTGGCGGGCACCAGTGCTCATGGTCACCCTGAATGCCGAAGGGAATCGGCGATGGTCCTCGAAGGCGTGCCCACCCTTGTGGTAGTTGAGGTGGTCTGCTGGCGGGGCTTGTGCTAGTTGTGGGCCCGTTGCTGGTTGAGGTGGGACTGCTGGCGGCGCTTGTGGTAGTTGTGGGGCGGCCCGTGCTGGTTGAGGTGGCGCGGCTGGCGGCGCTTGTGGTAGTGTGGGGCGGCCCATGCTGGTTGAGCCGCTGGCGGCGCTTGTGGCAGTTGTGGCGGTGTTGGTAGTTGAGGTGGTGCGGCAGACGGCGGTGCCGGCGCTGCTGATGGCGCAGGGGGCGCCTGGCTTACATCATGAAGGTCCAAGGTACAGCAAACAACTAGTGAGGCATAAGACACAGCAAAGCACAAGCAACAGGCCTGCTTAGCACCGACAAAGCATATCACAGTGCATATCACGGCCTGCACCACACGGCATACACCAACGTGCCGAAGCAGCAAAGGCATTGAGAAACCAGAAACTGCACTGGCTGCCTGCTTGCAGCACGTCCAAACAAGGGCCGCATAACGACCGGGATGGCTTTGTAGCAATTGAGGCATTCCTGACTCGAGGCTGACACAGACCGTTCTCACAATACTACGGGATGACAGCAGGACGAATCCAACCGCAAAGGACCACACGCGATGCTGATGTTGCACCTGCCCGGCAGGTGAGGCGAGAAAGCTAGGCCGGACGCAATATGTAGGTCATGACGTGTCATGAACAAAGCATGCAAGAGACTTTTTGCAGCTGCAGCAGGTGTGTTGTGGCACGTCTTCGCAGCATGTGCCCTTGAAGATGTCTC